GTCAGGCGAGCCGTCTGCAGGCCAGTTGGTTGGCAGGAGGCTGGGCCCCGGGCTGTGGCTGGGGCTGGGGCCTGGGCTCGGGCCACTGTCCTCCTGCTGCAGTGGGGGTGAAGAGTGGAGCGTGTGGGTTCAGACCGAAGTTGGGAGCCCCTACCCTGAGACAGACTGCCAGAACCCCCAAGCACACTCCTGCCTTGGGTCCAGCCCCCTTGGGCATTCTGACACCCCGTCACCCTCTGTAGCCAGTGCGGGAGACCTGCTGGTCCCGGGGGCTCCAACCAGCCACTGTTCCAGCTGGGCTAGGCTCGCTCTAGGTGAGTCATGGAGGGCGCACGTGGGGAGGAAGAGATCTCTCCTTCCCTGGGGGCTGGGACACCTGGGCTGCAGGTGGGCTCTGAGCCCCAGAGACTCTACCATCTTCTGAGACCTTTGTCCACCATGTCTGGACCTGTGACAAGTCCTCCTGATTCTCAACTTTCCTCTGTCCCTCCTGGGTCCCCTTCTGTGGTTTCTGCTCTGCCCCAGGGCTCTGGCCTGACCGGGGCCACTCCCTCAGGTCTCACCAGTCAGCCTCACTGGCTCCCCTCCTCCAGGCTCTCCCCTCCCCATCTACCTCCTCACCGGATTGCCACCACCCCCTTAAACTCCTTCCTGGCTGGAAGCATAGCATGGGCTGGAGTGAGCAGCCTGCAGCTCCCAGAGGGGACTAACACACGAGACTTAGGAACGGGATGAAACTGTCATCAAACATAAAAGCAGGCACACATGAGGTCAAGTGTATCATGGAGCGGTTTGACTTTGTAACAGTGTTCACCTCGAAAGAAAATGCCAAGATCACCTGGCTCCTGGGGTGCCTTACGCCAAGCTCCTAGCCCTGTGAAGCCCTGTGACTTACGCTAAGCTCCGCCCCCTGGGCCTCGGTTTGGCCTTGGTGGCCTGGCCCTACCCTCTGGGCTGACTTTCTTCCTCAGTACTCCCTGCAGGCTTCAGCCTGAGCTCTAGGGACACCAGATGGCTTGCCTTTCTGTAACGCAACATTCCCTGTCCCCAGTTCTGGCCTTGATTTCACTTCCCCTGCAAATTTATCCTCAGAGCAGGGGGACCCTCCAGTGTCCTCTCATCACTCCGCGCATGCTGCTTAGAAGCTACTTGACCAGCAGTGCCCGGCTCTGCTCATAAACGGAGGGTTCCGAGGGCAGGGTCTGGCCTTCAATCTCCGCCTTACTCCCGGTGCAGAGCAGGGCTTGGTGTTTACCAGCTGATCCAGTGGGGTGTGCCAAGGAGATCAGCCTCGGGCTGGAGTGCAAAGGGACCCAGGGAAGAGCCCCACTTTGGCCTTTCCTGGCACAGGCTTCAGTGTCCCTGCGTAGGAGGCAGCAGCACCAGCAGCAGCTCTCCAGTCTGTGGATATGTCCCTCCAGCCCGGCTATGCAGGCCACCCACGCCCAGGCCGCTCCTCCCGCAGGAGGCTTCTCAGAAGAGTCCCATTACCTCTCTGTGGTTTGGGGGCTCCCGGCCCTCACCCAGCACCAGCTCCTTCCCTTGTGCTGCCAGCTCCTTGAAGATGAGGTCCTCCTCTGAGGCCATCTGCAGGCGCCAGGGGAGGGAGGCCAGGGTGGCCTTGTGGGTGGCCACCTGCACGAGCGCGTAGGCATTGCGCGGCCGCCGCACCACCTTGATGTGCTCCCGCGCCACCGGCAGCTCGAGGCCGTCCCGGGTGT